ATTTTTGGAATGTCTTAGGAATATAATGTCTTGCTAAGTCAGTAGATATATCACGATGTAATTCTGTTCCTCAATTTGGAAGTTTAACTTTTTTATTTGTAAATAATTGTTAGTATTTAGTGTTTCTTTTAACTGATCATCTGTTGTTTTTGCCTGAGCAGTTTCTTCATAATCGCTAGAACCCCTAATTTTAATTTCATGAATGTGAGATAATGTGTCGGCAACAATATTTGGTTTCTTTTATGTATTGGATATCTGTTGTAAATTGCGAAATAAAGTCTTATTGATGATTTTGACATGGGGAGCATTTTTTAGGTTTTTGTTTGAAAGCAAATATTAGTGGTTTGTGATCGGTAAACAGCATAAATTTGTGTCCTTCTATCATGTATCTAAATTTCGGACTGGATATGTAGATTTCTAATAATGCCTTGTCATATGCACTGTATTTCTTTTTCAGTGATTGTTAGCTTTCTAGAAAAAAATGTTAGAGGTTCCATTAGTAGCTTATTTTAGAGATCCACCAGTAGCGTAGTGAGATGCATCAATTTGAAGAATTAGAAATGTATTTCCCGAAGGATATGCTAATAATGTAGCATTTGGTAACTGTTTAGCATTTTCAAAAGCTTTACTTGTTTGAACAGACCAATGAATTTAGCGTTTCTCTTCTTTTTCTTTTTCTTTTTTTTTTTTTTTTTAACCTTTTAAACATTCTATGAGTAGTGCTTAGTTATCAGCTGCATGGTGCACGTATCTACAGTAAAAATTTAGTAACCCTAAAAGCTTTCTGAAATCTTTAACTATTTCTGGTCTTTTGAAGTTCACATTTGCATCTGCTCATTCAGGTAAAGGTTTACTCCCATTCTTGGTTATTAAAAGGCTTAAGAATTCTTATTTTAGCAACACCAAAAAGGCACTTTAAGTCTTTAATGTAAGTCCATATTGGAACAAATTACAAATGCTAAAACGTTATTTCCTAGATACTGATTTGTAAAGAATTAATGGAACTTGTTGCACTAATAGCTACAAACTTAGAGTAAATGCTTGAAAAATAAATAGTAGAGAAAGAAAAAAGTATATTTAATTGAAAAATCCAGCGCTTAAGCTTCAGAGGATTGAAGTAAAAGCAATTAGTACAAAAAGATTTTTTTAATTATTAAAGATTATTCTATCTGAAGAAAAATTATGTGCACCATCACAATTGTATCATGTTAATTCCAAATTTTAGATCATCAGTTTGAATCTAGTAAGATGACTTGTACACATGACATCATAAAGGCTTCTTTAACTATTTAGGTCAAATAGAAAAATACTAACCCTCCACAACCACTAAAGGACCAAAAAGTATGATCCTGGCAAACATCAGTATATCATCAATTAATGTAATAGTATTGGCCATCGTGCCACTTTCCTAGCCATCAGGTGCTTGAATGTGATATGCAGGAATGTCAGTTAGTCGGGAGGAAAATCCTCATATTTATGGCACACTTGTTTCCTTTTGTTGAGGAAGCACGTGCTTTAATCAGTATTCTTCATTCCTAGAATTTTTCATGTTGTTTTCCTGCTGGGGATTTGGATATTGGACTTTGTACCGTATATATATTTAATTCCATTACATACTTATGTATCTATTTACCTATCTCTCTCTCCTGTTATATATGTGTGTGTAAGAGAAATAAAGAATATGTAAAAGATTAAATTAGCAGCATATATTTAATTCCATTACATACTTATGTATCTATTTACTTATCTCTCTCTCCTTTTATATATATGTGTGTAAGAGAAATAAATCTCTCTGTACTGTGTCATTTCAAGATTAATCCATGTCATAGGACTCTCATATAATTTGGATGATGTAAATGGAACTAAAACTCAAACAGCCAATAATAATTTTACAGCAGTATTAACTATCTAATCAAAATGTACTGAGAACACAAATTATATATATGTGTGTAAAAAAAATAAAGAATATGTAAAAGATTAAATTAGCAGCATAAAATTAATTTTTCTTCTCTATTCTAAAAATAGTAATCTATCTGTACTGCATCATTTCAAGATTAATCCATGCCATATATGACTCATATAATTCAGATGATGTAAATGGAACTAAAACTCAAACAGCCAATAATAATTTTATAGCAGTATTAACTAGTCAATCAAAATGTACTGAGAACCAAAACTAACTCGGTCTATTAAGATTTCACCCTGAAGATAACGCTGCACTCTGTCTGCTTCATCTATCTTACTGAAAATTTATCTAAAATATAAACGTTTTTTCAATAGGCACATTTAATGTGCCAACTTGATTGTGGCCAAAGCATGTTTACTGAAAAAAAGTTGAATTAAATATACCTTGACTGCCAAATTTCTTATTCTTTGTGGATCGGCGTTTCAGCATTTTACAACATCAAAACACTCGCTGTTCATTACAAATTAAACCACCTGCGTTCTACTACAGAATCTATAAATGAGAAAATTAGTATGGTGTAAAATTTTGAGGTGTATCATTATTCTTAATACAGGGTGATCAGCGAATAAGCCCTGATTTCAAAATTAAATATCTCTACAACAAAAGATGGATAGAATTATGCGGTAAACTGTACTTTTATTAGCAAAACTGTAAAAATGGTATACAAAAGTTTAGAAAATTTAGTTATGAAAATCGTTAACAGATGGCACTCTGTGCTGAAAACTCTTTCTCTGAAAGGAAAAAAAATAAATAGAATAAAGTGAAGCAGCCTTTGCAATCAAAATACAGTTTTTTCAAAATGTTCACCGTTCGAAACAATGAGGTGGCGTAAACGAACAATGAAATTTGACATCACGTCTTGCAATGTCTCAACGGAAATGGAATCACATGCAACACCAATCAACGATTCAAGCTCATCTAGAGTAGTGGGGTTGTTTCAATTGAAGGTGTCTTTCAATGCGTCCCACAGAAAGAAGTCACAAGGATTTAGATCGGGAGAATATAGACGCCAAGCTATTCCTGTATCAATAAATTGCGGATTTTCTAACGCAATTACTCTATTCCCAAAATATTTATGAAGAAAGCGAAAAACTTTATCTGTTTGATGTGGTCGAGCCCCATCTTGCATGAACTAGCCGATACCTGATCGATCCTCCAACGCCAGTTGAGTGCTGCCAAATTGTTCCAAAATTGAAACGTAACGTTCAGTAGTTATCGTTTCTCATACGAAAAAGGGTTCGATAATGCCTCTGGCGCATACCGCAGCCCATGTAGTAACTTTAGGAGAATGCAGTGCTTTCTCTTCACATAAATGAGGATTTTCGGAACCCCAAAATCTTCAGTTTTGTTTATTGATTCCATTCAAATGAAAATGTGCCTCATCTGTGAACCAGATGCAGCTCACATCAAATCTGTCATTGTCGATCGTTGTTAGAATCTGATTCGCAAAGTCAACCCTTTGTTGCACAGCTTTCATGGGTATAGCCTGATGATTTTGTATGGAAACAGCTGTAGGCTATTTTTTAATATTTTTTGCATGCTCGTGTACTTCAACCCTGTCTCTGATGCAATCCATCAAATACCTTTCCTATGATTTTGCTGAACAATTCCAGAAACTTTGGCTGTATTTTCCAAGGAGTGACTACAGTTTGCCTAGGCCCAACATTTCCCTTTCGATCATTGGCCACGCTGCTAGTCCGTTTCGAATTTCGCGAAGAACGTGCGAAATGGTTTTCGCATTAGTGTCCAACTGGAGGGACATCGAATCAGCTTTGAAAACTGCGACGTGTTGCCGTAGGACTATGTTCTAATTGCTGAAATTCCAGAACCAAAAAAACACGTTGTTCAATGGAATGGATTATTTCACTTTCTACGCTAGCCTCTTTTTTCACTAGCCAATAGTCGAACTGGTCACTTTCGACTTCGAAGCACATTTTAAATATATTGATTGATAGGACATTGTGATTAGAGCGCCATCTGTTAACGATTTTAGTAACTAAATTTTCTAAACTTTTGTACACCATTTTTACAGTTTTGCTATTAAATGTACAGTTTACCGCATAATTCTATTGATCTTTGTTGTAGAGATATTTAATTTTGAAATCAGGGCTTATTCGCTGATCACCCTGTAATTAATGGGTATATAAAATTGTTATAATTGCGATATTGTGTGTAAAAATTTTTGGAAAGCCTTTCTTGAAGTTTCAAAATTGTGATGTGAATGCTCCAGAAACAAGAACTTTTTACAGATTGGAATCAAATCTTAATAGGACTCTAAAAATTTGCAATTACATTAAAAGAATATAGTGCATAAAATTATTATTGAATTCAAAATTTTATGACTTATAACTTTTTTATTGTTCAAAAGTTAATTTTACGTTTTATATTTTCAAAATTATAGCTATCATATTTTGCTGCTCTAATGCTTTTCCTTCCACCTTGCTCTCTCAACGTTTCTTTTGAAGGGAGGATATGTAAGATATAACAAAATATGATGGCTTTTTTAAAAATAGTTGGCAACCTCAAAATTAACGATTCTAGATTTTATGCTCTCCCCTTAATTCATCTATTCTCTCAAATTCAAGATCTTTCCATGTTATGTAACGCTTAATGCAGATGCCTCTTGTCCAATCAAAATAATTTTAAACCAAAACTTTTCTAACTCGAACTGAAACCTTTGGCTCCAGAACCAGAAGAAGGGAGTTCTTCCTTTAAATTGTGTTGTCCACTTTCACTTAAGCTTTCCTCCTGGCAAGATGCTTTGCTGCTCGCTTCTCAAATGTGTGCATCATTTTCTTTTAAAAAACTAATGTACGTAGAAATTTACATAGCATATTTAGTTTATGATTGAATAAGTGTCTGCCAAACTAATTGGATATGTGTGAAAATAAAGATTGGTGATTTATTACAAAAAGCAGTTTCATTATCTTCGTCTATGTGCATTGAACCTCTGGGCTATGACGACAGCAAGTGGATTCCTTCTTCTACACTATAAAAAATTACATATATATATATATAATTTTTTTATTTATAGATTATGGAAGAGGCACATGTTGATGCAGTCATGATTCTTGGAGAAGCATTTGCTTGTAAAAAGGAATTTGATTTTAGCCAACAGAACATGACACAGAGGATTCATCATTTAGTACCCATTATGTTAAAACACAGAGTAACTCCTCCACCAGAAGAAACATATTCTCTGCATCGGAAGATGTCAGGTATATTTTTACTCTGTACAAAACTTGGATCAAAAATTAACTGCAGTAAATTGTTTGATGATGTTTATGCTACCTATACAGAAAGAAAATTAAGTGTTAATCTTTGAATGTTAGTTACATGTACAGTTGTTGTTTATTAAAAATTTGCTTGTGAAATAAGATATATTAATATTAATTAGAGCGTCTGTTTCTTAGTACAAAGCAATAAAATTCATTGAAAATAGTAGTATTGTTCATCTCTCTTGAAAGTTTCATCACTTATTCTTTATTTTATAAACATCTGGGATGGAAATGATAAGTTAGATTCCAAAGATGGGGAATAGAATCAAATTTAGATCAATAAACTGATGAAATCAGAATTTTTTCCTTTGACATTCAAATTTAAATTATTTCGAAAGCGTAATTAGGATATGAATAGAAATTTATAGTGATAAAAATATCAGTTCCGACTTTAAAAAAAAAGCTAAATTAAGAAATCAGAAAAATAAAGACACAGAGATTCTGTGGGTTTTCATGTAAAAAATAAGTTAAAAAAAGTTTTTTTTTTAATTCTGTTTCTAAAATTAGTCTTATTTTTTCAGAATTCAGTTGTAAGACTAATTTTCATTTGCAATATTTAAGTAAAGATTATCATTATGCTTGCTAAGAATCCATCATTGAGGAAAATATTTTATTGAAAAAAAGACACTTATACAAACTGTGGAAACAGCTTCCATATAGTTTATTTTTATGCTTTCTTCATTTATAAGTTAACTGTGGTCAGTGTTTCTGGTATAAAATCCTTCATTGAAAAATGTATTTGTCCATAATCAAGTAAACTCGATTGTTTTTTCGTCTGTAAGTAACCAGTCAATTAACCTGTTTTTTTTTCCCTAAAGATTTGAGCGAAAATTTATTCATAAAACCTTTCAGTATATTTATTTTCATATGCTGTATTTTATAAATAAAGCATTCATCTGTCGCACTTCATTGCTCAGAGATGACTAATAAACGTTCTTATTTATGCAGTGACAACCAGTTGTAATATGCTGAAATGAATTATCACGCTAGTAAATAATTCAAAAGCAGTATAATAAAGTGTCATTTTGGTCATATCTATTTCTTTAACTAGTGATGGTCAAACAGCAGCATGTAAGTCGTATCTGGCCAGTTACCATAAACTAGTGTGCAAAACTTAAACAACGAGTTCATTTCTCAGTATACACCCATGAAATTGTTGAAAAGTTTTTTTTTTTTTTCGATCAGTGCTATGATAAATCAACTCAATAGAAAGGTGATTTATATGCAAATATCAGCACTAGGACATCAGAGGGTACGTCAAGACATGCAGAACGCGAGGAATCAGTGCGGTCAGTGCAATACAACTTAAAAAAAAGAAGGGAAGGTGCATTTCCAAGCATTCTTCTGCAATTGAAAGTGAGACTGTACATGCAGTATGGCTACAAGAAAACCTCAGGACATCTTTACGCATTGTAGAATTATTGGCAAACTTGAGGAAGGCCATAGTTTGATGTCTGTATCCAAGAATTTGAAATTGATAAAAGCGTTATCTCACGAGTTTGAAAACTATTTCAAATGACAGATACAGCTTTAATAAAAGTTGGTGGTGGTCAGCCTAGGAAAACAAAGGTGACTGATGACTGATATATCGGCTCTGCAGGCGAAAAGAGATGAAAACCAGATAGCAAGCAAAATTGTTCAGCAGTTGCACTCGGTAACTGGATGATAGATGTCTTTGTTTACTGTGGCCAGACGGCTTCATAAAGATGGCCTATTCGCTCACTGTCCTAAGTGCTGCATACCATTGACACCAGCCCATCGTCAGCACTGTTTACAGTGATGTACAAAGATTGATATCTCATCATTGGAGTCAGGACCTCTTTGCCGAGTCATTGCCGAAGATTATTACTGAAGTTATCCTCCTCCATGAGCGTCTTTTCCAGGGTGCCATTGGTCCCGACTTTGTTTTAGAGATGACAATACACGGCTATAAAAAGACTCATGATGTTGAGGATCTCCTGGAAAAGAATATATCCACAGAAAGTGTTGGCTAGCATGCTTTCCTGATTTAAATCCCATTGAACAGGCAAGATACTTTAGTGAAACGGAGTAAGTAAGATACTTTAGAGTCCCATTGTGAGATACTTTACAGAGATGCCGGGCAGCACAGTCTTCAATAAAGCCTTTTTCTAATTGTTTAATATTGTATGTGTCCTATTAATTTTTTTGTTACTATACTTTCCTCGTCAAGTACTGCATTTTGCCTCTGTATATGAATTTTGTATCCCCCAATTGATTTTTTGCAGAATTACTGCTAAAAGGTGAAAAGCTGCTTGTTTTAAACACTAGTTTATATAGTATGGCCTATGTATTTCTTATTTTATTCAAATAATTTTATAATTTCAATTGTTAGAAATGTAAATTTCATATGCAGTTTGAAGGTATCTGCAAAATTCGGTAACAGTTTCATTCTTTTTCCCACAAAAAGGGTCTGTGAACTTCAGTGTGATCAAATGCTTAACAAAATAAGAAAGTGGATCTGGTATGAAGAAATTATTCCTGTAAGAATAATACCTAGTGCAGAGAAAATAAGTCTTTTGCAATACTCTATATCCATTAATACTTGATATTTGTGTAATAAACTTTTCTGCCATGAAAATTATTAAATTAAAATTTAGAGCCCGATTAACAGATGCTACATTGTCAGTTGTACTCAGGAATATAACAGAAATGAAACTTCAAATCTGTGTTAACAAATTTCTCTGTATATGATGGTTTTTCTTTATATGATGGTTGTACAAATTAAATTATCTTCATTTAAGTAAGATTATAGTAAGTTAAGAATATATGTATTCTTAACTGGGTTCTAAAAGACAATTGAAAAAAAAGTAATTGAAAGGTCTTCCCTTTATCTATTTTAATTGCTCTTAGTGTTTTAGTAATAAGAGTTGCTTATGTCTTAATTTTCTTACCTTTAACTGGAATAATTTGTTTATTACTTCTTGAAAGTATTTATTTTTCTTATAAGTGTTTTTGTAAAAAAGATTGCAAAGAACATTGAAATATATTATTACAAGAACATTTCAGTTTGACCCTAACCAATGGATTTTGCACGCAGTAATTCCTGCATGAAGGTAAATCCTCTTACAATCCTATTATAGTCTCCAGATTTAGCCACCAGTGTTGCTCAGTCGTCAGAGCTGTTCAACACTGGATGTGCACAGAACAAAATACCTTCTTCAAAGAAAGGACTACAAGACTTCCAGAATGATAGGAAAAGGTGTGTTGCAGTATGCAGGTATTACTACAAATAATGACATACTTGCATGTATGCAATATTCCACTTTTTCAATCATTCCATACGTCCTGTTCTAAATTAAAAGGCCATGGCAAGGAATCAAAAGTAGAAATTCATTCATAAAAAATACTCACCTCTGTATTGTATTAAAGCATGAGAGAATTCCATAAAAACCATCTTAAAAGATACCATAATTTTTTAAGAAGTAATTAGGCTATCAATGTGTAAATCATTGCCAGCAAATCTTTGTGTGTGTGTCTAATAACTGTATGAATTTGTGATTTGTATGAAATTTCAGAGAGATTGGTTTGCAAACTATCTCTTTAAGAGCTCCTAGTTAAAATAAGCTTTCAGATTATGGCAGTTTCATGTATTTGACAGTTTTATATATAAAGGTATATTAATTTTGATTTGGTTTCTCTAGGAAGAAAGTTCAGTTAGTAAGCTGTTTTTATTTCTACTAAAGATCTTTTAAAACCGAAATGGTCTAGTTTACATAGTTAGAGATGCGAGGGGGGCACTTCTTATGAAACCACTGCTCCTGTAACTGATGTATGGAATGTTGTTTGCATAGAGTTAGAATAGCATAAAACCAAAGAGAGAGTCCTGTGTGACGCCTGCAGAGATTTTTCGACCTATGGACTTAGTGTTGTTGCAATGAACGACAAAGTAATCTGTAATACAGATAGGAATTGATGGTGTAGTCTTAGAAACCCAAGAGAATTAGTCTGCGTGTGAGTCCCTGCAATCATACGCAATCAAAGGCTTCTAATATGTGGAGAAAGAGCACTCTGATGATGGATCAATTCGTCAATCTTTGAACAAGGAATTTAGTGAGACGGTAAAGTTAATATGTCCTTAAGTTCCTTTTCAGAAAATCGTGCTGCTGTGGGACTAAGGTATTGTTCTCCTGTATAATGTCATTTATTCTTCGTAGAATAACTTCTTTTGCAATCTTGGTGATTGTCGAGAGCAAGCTTGTAGAGTCCAGTGAATGAACTTCTGACTGTATACTGGCGTAGCAGGAAACTACACAAGGGAAGGGTTAAAATACCCTTTATTAAGTCTTTTCAAAATTTACAATGCGTCAACTTGACGCTAATAAACTTCGCCTCTGCTTGGGCTGTAACTGAAAGTCAGATAATTGAAACTAAAAGTTGAAATGTTAACAAGTGATAAAACTAGCCTACATGGCTCAGCGAGATCCCATAACTTAAACCCTCTTTTAAAGCTAGTGGCAGCAGATAAATGCAATTAACTATAATAATGCAGATAAATGCACCTGAACTAGCAATAAGCAAACGTACCTACGACAGAAACGGCAGCTAGAGTCTAAGTCTCTCTTTCTGCTACCGAAACTTGGCTTTTAACTACTTCCTTCAAAGTAGAAAATTTGCATTTCCTTCCGCGTGCTACAACATTTAACTATTCTGGCACTGACAATTAGGGAAATGAAGGCTTACAGGAAAGGTCTAAACTCAAACTTTAAATTGTTAGTTAAAATAAATATAAATCCCTACAAGTTTATCGGCCGATATGCAACTAGATCATTTGAGTCCTTTCCAGTCTTGAGAATAGCAAAGGTTATAGCAGTTTTCAAATGGTTGGAAAGTGATGGACTCTGATCATAACTGTTGATAATATTCGTAACTTGCAGAGGATCTTTGAAGACTGCAATCCTTAATCATCTTATTATTATTATATCTAATCTAGAGCTTTTCTGATTTCTTCTCTTTTCTTCTAATGGGCATATGAATGAGGGTATGTTGTTCGTGTGTGTGCTTGAAAAGAATTATGTGTTGATAAAAACTAGTATTCTGTTTATGGAGGGGAAATATTGTTAGGGCGATAGTGAGATGCATAGTTATCAGTTAGTGACTCAGCTTTCTCAGTTTCTGTGTATGCAGTCACGTTGGGACGTTAAAGGA